GCAGTAGTTTTGAGTTAAGGAAGACTTTATGAAGAAGACAACATTAAATACGTTTATTCCCTCCAAATTATCCTATAAGATCGAATTCACATGGATAAAAAAACACAGTGCAAAACAAGGAATTTTCAGAAATGAAAATAAGAGGGGTGATCCTTCAAGCTCTCATAGAGAAAATAGTATTCAAGCACAAAAATCCAAAGACAACGCAGAAATGTGTCTGACTGCACTGATAATCCCCAAGTACATATATGGTGAAAGAAACCAGAATCAGAGTGAAACAGCAGGAACAGACCAGGAGCTGTGGTGCAGAACATGGAAAATACATTAATCCAATGGCAAAAACAGGTGAAAATAGAACAGTTAATGAAAGAGGAAATACAGATGGACAATAGTCAAAAAGTTGTTTCATTTCAGCAATAATCAAGGAGTCGGTTGAAAACATGATATATCATTTTGCATCCACTACATAGAACACAAGTACGTGTGAACTACAGTGCTGGGAACCTGTCAGGAATGGGAACTTCTGTGTGGTCAGAGTGCAACATGCTAGGCTGCTACCTGGGAGGTATGGGGTTCAACTCCACCAGTCGCTTAGGAGACGGTGTCTCCTCCTCTTGGAAGGTGGATTGATAGAGTGTGCGCTTTATTTTTTCGCTAGTTTGGGTGAGTGTTTTCAAAGAAATGGAAGAATAAATACAATATCATCTATTCCAAGGTCAGCATTAAAGTTAGTTTGGCTAAGTTGACAAAGTTTTATTTAAAAAAAGCAAAGGAGACTAAAAAATAATTATGTTAAAATTTTAGCATTTGACAACTCTAAGTGGAGTTTAAAAAAATCACCATGTTATTTTTGTTCTTCCTTGCCATTTAAAGTAACTTAAAGCTTTAAGAGCCCTCAATGTTTGTAACTAAAAGCGATCAAAGCTATCAGAAGACGTTTTCCACCATTGCAAGTATCACAAGGCCTAAGAAATTTGGAGCCTATGAGCTTTCCTTTTTATAGTAGAGGAAAATTGGAATTACTTAACCTTTAAGGAGAGACTGAATTAGAGGTTCTTGCTGGTTTACCTTAAAGAACTCCCATCTGAAATATTTGTTGGTAACACAGACACTTGGACGAATGCTTTTGTTCCCTATTATCAGACTCTGAAGTTTCCCCCAAGAATACTTTGAAACAAAAACCAGACACAAGGCCATGCTCTAATGGCGCCAGTAAATTGTTCGACGCTGCCTAAGTCCTTACAGGAATACTTAAAGCATTCCCGCAAGACCTATCAACAGAAAGCTGATATATTACATTCGTTCAAAGAAATGTCTTGCAATTTATACGTGATGAAATCTGCTCTCACATTACTTCCTCACTCCTCCCTCATTACACAATTAAGAGGGACACCGTCAAGGTACCAATGATGACTTAATGTGAGAAGTGTCCCGGCATTCCGTAACACAAGAGCAAACGGCACAGGTTTGGGGGGCGGGGGCACGGGGTGTAGATGTGTGCACTGCATTAAAGTAGGAAGAGAAAATTAATGTGAACTTGGGGAAAATAATACTGCTTAGTAGCAGATCTTAGATATGTTTTCTCTTTGATTTTTGAAATTACTGGATATTGTTATGGACTTTGCCAGTATAATAATTCCAGTTTTATTGCTATCTATATCCTGTGGTTTTATTCCCTAATAAAAAGATGTGTAGTGTTGGTGTTGTGCTGAAAATGTAATTGATTTCTGAGAGATATAATTTGCTAGCTGGGAAACAGTTTTTGTAAATTTCTACGAAATTCAAACACAGAAGAATTAGATGCTGAGAAAGACTATGGTGCGAGAAAGGAACGACGGTGGTCCCCGGTGCTGTCATTAACTCAGCCTTGGATCATTTCAAGCTTAATTTACTAAGATTTTAATGCTTTTCTCAAAATTGCATATTTCATTAGAAATTTTCAAGGATCTCTCTTGATGTCATGAAATGTTTTCACTCCTCGAATAATTAAGCTATATGTAGTTTTAAGTTGAACTTCCTTAATTCAAAAACTGTAGACAAAGAGGTGGGGTAAAATCAGAGGTAGAAAATGTAATTGGGCTGTAATACTATGAAACTAAATTGAAATTCTATCATGATGTTCTGGCTAATTTCTTTGAACAGGGGTGTGGAAAGATTGTAGAGGATTTGATTTAATTATCCACATGAAAATTGATTCTTCTCACCCCTTACCCTTTTCCTTTGTGCAATAAATTATGTTAACAATATTGGAGTGAGATCACAGACAGTAGAAAACTCTAGAAATTCTTCTGCACCAGGACATATTTTAAGGCAGCTGTTAAAATTTTTTATTATTTTGGCACAATTTACTATTTTGAGATGCAACAACCAAATTTTTTTTTTCATTTCCTGAATATAAAAACAACCTTATAAAGCCTGTCTTGTTTGGAAATCTAGAACTGTGCTGTTAGGTGTCACCCAATCAAGGACACACCATCGCAACCCTGTGAATGTCAGACCTTCGGGGCCTCGCCCTGTCTCGCCCTGTCCTCCTGAGCTCTTGCTCGCACAAGCCCGCTGTGGCAGCCTCAGTGACAGCCCATCCTGTTGAGAGTACTTTTCTCTTTCTGGCCTCTCCCAGAGTGACATCCTCTCCAAGGATCTGTTCCTTCTAAATATGCCCACAGTAGACAAGACCAAGTTTCACCATCCCTGCCTTCTGAGAGCACGTTAGCTGCACTTCCTTCAAGATGGACTTCTTTGTACTTTTGGTAATCAAGGGAATAGTCAATACTTGTGGCCAATGTCACAATTCAAAGACATCAATAATTTTCAGTCTTCTTTATAAATTGTCCAGCTTTCAGAAGCATATTAAGCATTTGAAAACACCATGGGTTGGATCAGGTGCACCTTTGGTTTTTAAATTGACATCCTTGGAGAAAGTGCAACCAAAGTGCTCTTCAGAAGCAAGGATGGTGAAGCTTAGCCTCACGGAGTTTGGACGTGCTGTTAGGAGACACAATTCCTTGGGGAGGTATATCACGCTTGGAAAGGGGAGGAGGGATATCAGAGAGGAGGAAGACCCTTAGCAAGAAGGATGTGTCGGGGATGATACGGACGGCATGGGATGGAACAGGCTTCAGACCTGCCGTTCATAAGATCACATGAGTTGTACCTGACATGAAGGCACTTAACAACAACTTGATAACTTGTTCTGTAACACTATGGAAAGGTTCTTGATAGCAGATTGCCCCAAGGAAACATGTCTTCATTTTTTGTTTTTATTATTATTATTCATTTTAATGAAAGTTCACAGAGATTTTGGATATCCATTCATCCATTGTTGCACGTTTCTCCCTGCCCTGCCTCCCCCCGCCCCATCTTCATTTCTTGATAACGTGAATTCAAGCAAAAAGAAATTGCTGACAACTTCAATATTTTCATCATCTAACAGAATGTTACCTATTGGTCTTCTGGTGAGGATTTTTGTTTTCTTGATGTGAAGGTGTAACTTGTATCAAAGGATGTAGTCTCTGATCTTCTGCAGTAAGTGTCATTTGCCCTCACTTTCAGCAAGCAAGGTTGTGTCACCTGCATTATGTAGGTTGTTGATGAGTCTTCCAATTCTGATGCCACATTCTTCTTCTTAGAATCCAGTTTCTCAAATTATTTGCTTAGCATACAAATTTAATAGATATGAAGAAGGGATGAAACCCTGATGTACATCTTTCCTGATTTTAAACCATACAGTGTTCCCTTACTCTCTTCAGACAACTGCTTCTTGGTCTCTGCTAGGTTTTGCATAAGCTCAATTAAGTGTTCTGGGATTCTCATTCTCCTCAGTTTTATCCATAATATTTTTATGATCCAAACAGTCAAATCCCTTTGCCTAATGAATAAAACACAGGTAAACATGCCTCTAGTATTCTCTGCTTTCAGCCAAAATCCATCTGACAGCAGCAATATGGTTGGTGCCTGGCTTCTACTGAATCCAGCTTGAGTATCTGGCAGTATCTAGAAAGGATCTTTTTTTTCTAATTTTCATAGCATAAACACAACTCAAAAATGCATCTAATTTCATGTAGTATTTTCTAACTGTATTTACATTTAGTGGTTATATGTGTTATGCAGATGACACAACCTTGCTTGCTGAAAGTGAGGAGAATTTGGGGTTTTTTTTTGTTTTTTTGGTTTTTTTTTTATGTTCTGTTTACATTTATTACGGGACTGGAAGAGGGGGTGTGGATTTGGATCAGCAGGAGCTTCTAGGTGAAGGTGACCAGAGGAGTCTCCCTAGATGTGATACCCTTGGTTTAACACCCCAAACACTTAGAACCACAAAGGTTGTCATGACTGGAGGGCAGTTGAATTGAGGAGCTCAGGAAGAGAAGGATCCTCCTTTCTACAGAGATCTCCATGAAGTGAGACAGCGAAGCGTGTGGAGGTGTAAGAAAGAGGCAAGAATCATCATTCTATCTTCCTCATCTCCCACAGACCCTGCAATCCACCAAGGCCCTGGACACCAAAACAAAACGAAAAAGAGTCCTTCTCCCAACCCCATCATCAACATTCAAGTTCTTTCTGTAGCTAGATACCCAGGGGACAAAGCACAGCAAGCACGAATCATCCCTTTCTTGGGGATCAGCTGAGATGGGGCCCACACAGGAGCAGTCCCCATAGAACTGGCCATACTGGTGCCCCAGGACAGAACAGGAAACCTATGAGTGAGCTCACCAGGCCAGGCATCCAGGCAGCTCCTCCAAGGAGAGAGGACACTAGAGAAATGTTGGGCTGCTTGACTTCCATGCAGGGGGAGGAGAGCTCCAGAGAGGGTCCTGGCTGAAGGAAAACAGAGCTGAGCTTTAAAGAGCTTGATTGGGGTGGAGTTAGGGAGAAGAGACCTTGGGGAGAGAATGGCGTTAAATGTGGTAACAGAAGAGAGGTCTGGTGCTGTGGGGCAGGGCAGCTGGGGGTTCTCCAGGCAGCGGCTGGCTCTCTTCTGGCTCATAGACGCACACAGCCTAATTATTGCCCCATAGGGCCTTTTTTCCAAAAAGAGGTCGTGGGAGGAACTTGCTGGACTTCATGTAGGCAGAAATCTTATCCAGGCCCTCAAAGCGGGCCATGAAGGCCTTCAGGTTTGGGAAGGCATCCAGGCACTTGGGCTCAAAGATCCGGTTCACGTCAAGGACGTCATAAGCAAGGAAGTCGACGAAGGTGATCTTGTCCCCTGAAAACCACAGTCGATTCCCCAGGAACTGCGAGTAGAGCTTCATCTTTTCAGGCAGCCCCTCCAGGTATGGTGGCTTCAGCTTCTCAAAATCAAGGCTGTAGCACACTCTGATCAGTTCCAGGCGGGTGTCCGTAACCTGATTCTCCAAGATGTCCACTCGGATCTTTTCCTCTTCTGTCTCTCCACACAGGTTGTGTTTGCGGGCAAGGTAGCGCGTGATGGCTTTGCTCTGCGTGATCTTGTGAGCCCCATCCAGGAGGTAGGGCAGATTAGGAAAGTCCAGGCCCACCTTGAATTTTTCATTCTGCCACTGGCTTCTGTCATGGTCAGAAGCGTCCCCCAACTTGTACTTCTTTTCTTCATACTTTGAATCTGTGTATTCCAGGATCAGGCGGATGGCATGAGCCAGCCGGCGGATGTCCCAGTAACCCAGAGTCATAACCATATTGTAGGCTTCCGTTGAGTGAGCCACCTAGCCTCCAGGAAGATGAAGTGTAAATTTATCAGACTGGGAAGAGAAGGGAAGAAAAAAAGAAAAAAAAGAAAGTGAGGAGAATTTGAAGCACTTGCTTCAGAAGATCAAGGAATGTCGTATTCAGTATGGATTGCATCTCAATGTCAAGAAAACAAAGATTCTTATCACTGAACTAATAGGCAACAACATGATGGATGGAGAGGAGATTAAACTGTCAACAGCTTCATCTTGCTTGGATCCACAATTAACACCGTTGGTATCAGTAGTCAGGAAATAAGGAGATGCATTGCACTAGGAAAATATGAAGCTAGGGACCTCTCCAAATTATTGAGGAGTAGTGATGTCAGTTTGAGGATCAAGGTGCATCTGATTCAGACTGTGGTCTTTCCAATTACTTGCTATGCATCTGAGAGCTGGACAATGAATAAGGATGACAGAAGAAGAATCCATGCCTTCGAGCTGTGGTGTTGGAGAAGAGAACTGAACACCCCATGGACGGCCAGGAGAACAAGCAGACATGTCTTGAAAGGGGTGCAGGTAGAATGCTTTTTGGCGGCAAGAATGATGAGACTTTGCCTCACATACTTGGGTCTGTTGCTAGGAGGGACTATTCCTTAAAGAAAGACATGATGCTGGGAAGGGTGGAGGGCCGGCTAAGGAAAGGAACACCCCAACCAAACGGGTTGACACAGTTGTGGGCTCTATGTGTCAGGAAGTGTGAGGATAGCACAACATGGGACAAGGTTCAGATCTTCTGTTCATACGGTCACTGTGAGTTGTACTCGACACAATGGCACCTAACAACAACAATATGTGTTTTTAGAAGTATAATAAATATATCAACTTTTACTGCATGAAGTCAGAATGGATTTTGCAATGGGTTTTCAGAGGCTATAAATTGTACAAGAGGAGATAATATATATTAAAATATAAATAAAATTCCTGTCGGTAGTTTAAATACAATTCCAAATGTTAAAAAAAAAAACGTTACTGGCTTCTTTTAGTTTAAAAAAAAAAGTAGATTATAAAAGCTATTGAGAAAACATTAAGTTAGCTTATTGTCCAATAATAATAAAAGATTCACAATCTTTAGCTATTTCTCTAAGCTTGCAAAAGAAATTCTTACTTGATATTTAGCCTTATGCAGAGTGTAAAAAAACCAATAGTGTCCTATCTTAGGGTTGACTTTCTCAGAAAGCAATAAAGCAACAGATACTATATTCATAAGAGATGTTCCTTTATCAATTACTCAAAATAGTGAGAGTGAAAAGTACAGTCTCATATAAGCTTATTGAGTATATACTGTGACTGAAAAGATAGAATAACAAATGTTATGTTCACCAGAATTGCAACTGTAAGTAAAAGAAGAAAACCTGCTTCCCAGAGATTGAGAGGAAGCAGCTCATTTTACAGAGATCAATCAAAATGGTACCTGTGAATTCCCACCGTATTAAAAAAAAATGCAAAAATGATTATGATCCCCCTCTAGAGTTGCCCTGTCTGAAACAATTACCTGTCATGAGCTGTGGCTTCCAAACTCTTGAAAATGGCTTGTCTACTTAAGACACGCTGAACATTAAAGACTTAATATTTCTTTCAAACAGATTGTAAAGCTTCTCAACAATTGACTGCTGTTCTTGGTTTCGTCAAGTGGGCTCCGAGGGCTCCTATGTCAACAGAAGGAAACGCCCTCAGCTCCGCACCACCCTCCCTCTCCAGCATGACTGCACTCACTGTGGCCGCCCCTCGGTCAATCCCTCTCACTGCAGGTCTTCATCTTTTTTTGCTCACCCTACACTTGACAAAGCATTATTTTTTTTTTAATAATTTTAACGAAAGTTTACAGAGACTTTGGAATGGAATGGAATTATTTCCACTCATTAGTTGTTGCACTTTTCTCCCCGCCCATCACTCCTCCTCAATTCACTTTTCTTTTTAAAAAGTAAAAGAAGGAGAGCTCTGGTGGCCTAGTGGCAAGAAGCTGCATTGCAATCCCAGAGGTGAGCAGTTCAAATCCACCAGATGCTCTGCTGGAGAAGGAGGGACAATCTCCTCCTATGCCAGTCAGATCTGATTTGATGGTACACACACAAGAAAAAATTTAAAAAAGAAAAAAGTAAAAAAATTCTTTCATTGTTATTCAATCCCTTCCCCCAAGTCCACTCCACTGTGCAGCCTTCGTTCTGGACTCCTGTCATGACAATAATACCTAATCATATATCCCTTTTCAACAGTTGTCTCCCTCATCTGACTCAATGCAGTTTACATTCTTTACCCCCTCTTTCTACAGTCATTTACATATCCAGATTCTAACAGTGAATTGTTATGTGTTGGGAGGTACTGTCGGCTCGATAGCACACACTTGCCCTATGCCATCTTCACGTCTCTGCTATACCGAAGCCCACTGCTGCGTTCATTAGGCCAATCTATCTCCTTGAGGGTCTTCTTCTCCTTCATTGGCCCATATTCTTATTGTTTCTCTGTCCTCTCAAGTCGGAACCAACTCGTAGCTACTCGCCAGCAAATTTTCAGAGAGTGTCGCTCTCATGGGAGGAGGCTGCCCATCTTTCTTGTGCAGAAGAGCTAGTAGATTTGAACTATGTGCCTTTGCGTTGGGAGCGCAACTCCTTACCACTAAGCCACCAGAGCTTCCTGACCCGTATGAGACAATCCAAAGTTTAAATTAGCTTTGGCTGTTTCTCTGCCTTCTTTTAAATGTGACTATTAGATAACCTCTATGAGGTGGATTGATTCAGTGACTGGGGTAATCGGGATGAGAGTGTCAGACAGTGCGATTGGCACAGGACAGAGCAGAGTTTAGGGCTGTTGTACATAGGGTCGCTATGAGTTGCAAGCGACTCGACGGCACATAACAACAACAACAATATTAGATCATAAGATGTAGGGGTCAAGCTGATCACAGCAGAAGCTGCCTGGGTTAAAGGAATATAACGAATGTAATCAGGGCAGAAGAGTGAGTGTGTGTGTGTGTGTGTGTGTGTGTGTGTGTGTGTGTGTGTACACGTGCAAAACTTGATTCTCCCCTGGTATGATATCCTGCCTTCTGATACGGTTATGGCCTTGTTAACAGGAAAGGTCCACAAACAGGATAAGAGACAGTAAAGCACATCTTACGTTGTGACTCTATTCCCCATGCTTTCCTTCTTGTAAAACTCACAGAAAAGCCATGAGGACGAACAGGTTAGGAGGACACTCGGCCGGGATTCCTCTCCCCTGACCTCTTGATTATCCCCTGACCTCTGAATAGTTCATTCCATCCACCCCCTGGCACTTTCCTGCTGGTCAGAGAAGTGCAACATAGAGTGACCACGATGTGATATGGGAGCCACACAGGGTGACCTTGACGTGATGTGAGTGTGATGGTGAGAAAATGACCCTGTAACTAGAGAAGGCCCTCAGCGCAGAACTGTGGCCACAAGTCGGGGCATCTGAGTGGGCTAGAAAGTGGGTAGCACTGGCAGCCCCTGCTCGGAGGGTGGAGATAGGACCCTTCAGTGTTTGTTACACTACTTTAGAGTGCGAGTGATCCAGTGTTCCTACTGTTAGATAAATAATAAACAAGATGCATCAAACTCAAAGAGCTGAGCTGCAGGAACTGCTTGGTCTGACCTGCTGGCCTTTCTCTCCATGTACATGGTCAGTCTCCCACTCGGTGTTTGTTGCACGCTAACAAGCAATCCCCTTCAGTTGCAAAGGCAGCAGGATGATTGTCCACCCTGACGGGGCTTCCTGCTTCCTCCGTCAGGACCACGACATGAGAGGCACATTTACTGGCCATTGGGTGGTGACTGCTTCATTGGTTTTCTTGCTCTCTGTAATGAAGAGTGACATTTCTGTCCCAAAAGATGCCAACCAAAGTCTCCTCACAGCTCACTCGCCTTCACAGGATCCCAGTCTCATCCTTATCACCGTCACTGCTGCTGGGGCTATCATGGCCTGGTGACTGGAGAAAGGAGGTAAGATGGCCTGGTGGTGACTGGAGAAAGGAGGTAAGATGGCCTGGTGGTGACTGGAGAAAGGAGGTAAGATGGCCTGGTGACTGGAGAAAGGAGGTAAGATGGCCTGGTAGTGACTGGACACTTTATTTGAGAGTTTGATGCTTGGATCCTCTCTAAACTTCACAACATAAAAGCTCAAAGTCTTTAAGGATAGCATTGTTTGGGGGAACCAAAAGATGTTTACCCCACACCTCAGGCATCAACAGAGAAGGAAAACTTCTAATGAGATTTTAACAACTCGTAGTATGAGCATGAGGAAAACTACCCCAAGAGGAAAAGGAATATACACAACCAAGAGATGTTTTTAAACTTTATATTATCCCAAAGTTTTTTGTTTTCCATTTACATTTTTTCTGTTACAGACTTAAAATTTTAGCCTTAAGATCATGAGTTTTTCAATGTCATAGAAAGAACTGTGAGGGGACATTGACACAAGCCCAGGCAAGTAATAAGAGGAACACCATATTGGCTTTTAGAAAGTCAATATAAAAATCAATTGTAATTATACAGGGGACCTGTGAGAGCCAGACTCTACAGGACTCCCTGTTTTCTGGGTCTCAAGTTCCCCACCTCTGACAGGGTAGAGTCACCAGTTTCCTATTGCTCTGTTAGTGCAAAATCTTTAAGGAGTCCTCCACTAACAGGCTTGCCTGACTCACGTCGGTAAAAAAGAAAGAAAAGGAAACTTTAAAAATTGAGAAAAACATCTCGAGATCAAAATAAATAAAAGGTATACCATGGTCATGGATTGAAAGACTCACATTTGCCGATATTAATTATCCCAACACTGATCTGTTTTGTGTGTGTGGTGTTGTTGTTTTGTTTTGTTTTGTTTTGCAATTCCAATAAAAATGTCAGCACGCATTTTGTGTAAATGCCTATTTACACGTGCTCACTGCTAAGATAAAGAAAGAGAATTGTTATCTTTTTAGAAAAATATACAAGTAAACT